CACACACACACACACAATAAATAAATAAATGTTTAAAAAAACATTAACAACTTATTTTTAACAAAAAAGGAAAGAATGAATTACTCAGGTCCTTCTAATACACACAGACAGAAAACACTAAGTACTAGCACAAGTATAATTTTTCCAAAAGACAACTTTTTATGATACAAAGTTATGACAACACATGGTGTTCATAAACCCTACCCCAAAACTAAAATGTTTACGACACAGTATTCCCAACCAATAGCTACTACAGGGCACATGTAAGTCATTCACTAAAAATAGGGAGGGCCTCTATCACTCACGGGAAGTGTAGAAATAACTTTCAAGTTAATTTCCCTCCTTTCATCCATTCCCTCCCCACATTCCACTCAATGCCCTATTGTTCAAATTAGCTTTTTTTTTTTTTTTTTTTTGCAGAACCAGGAATTGAACTCAGACCCTTGCACTTGCCAAGGAAGAGCTTATTCTACTGAGCCATCTCCCAGGCCCCTTCAAATGAGCATTTAAATTTTACATCACTTTAGGTCACTGTGGGAGATCATCCACACTACACTCTCCTGAGAAATGAGGACCTCTGCCTGGATCTTTACCTGACCTTCACACTTCAACCCTATTCACTGAGATGTGATATGCTGGCTGTGTGAAGCAGATGTTCCCTTAACTGGCCAAAAGAATACAATTGAGTCTGGTGAGACAACAATATGACTCATTGCAGTGCATGAACAAGAACATACCCCACCCTACTGCACCCCTGCTGATGCTAGAATAAGAGCCTGTGAGATTCCAGGGCTAAGATGGAGAGAGCATCTCAGCTGCGGCCTTGGAACTCAAACAGAATCCTGGCAGTAGAAGTGCCAGCCTTGCATACATCAAGCTAACTGTTGCAATGCAATTGGAGGGTCTCTGTGCTGGGTACAAATTGCTGTTTCTCCTTGGAGCCAAGGCCTGCAAAGTTTCCCTTTCCACAACTCTACCATAACCTCCCCCACCTCCCTGACTGACACCAGTGAAAGCCATGAACTTTGGGACTCATGGCCCTTTGCTCCACAGACAGCTCTGGGTCACCCTACAGCTCCTCATTTGCAGAACTTTCTCTCTGTCTTTAATTTGCACCCATGTGCCAGACTGCAGAGTCCTCCACAGGGTGTCAGCAGGCCACTACTCTGTGCAGACCTTTACAATCATCTCTGCTTACACTCAAGAGTAAAATAACCAGTAAGATACAATACATTTACATTCCCCACAGCTTTTCTGACACCTCATCTACTAAAGTCCTTTTGATTCACTCCATGGACTTACTTGCTATACCCAGAACTGCCAACTTGAGACTTACATATCAGCTTTTACACTTGTTACCTTCTTTTCTGGGTGACTATCCTTCAACTAGCTGAAAGACTCACTGTGATTTTCTATAGTTCTCTGAAGATATATATTATCAGAAAACTTTTCTGACCACCCAATATAAATAATCACTCATCATTAATATCCTTTCCTCTTTATTTCCCCATTTTTCACTTATAACCATCTGATTACTACATAATTACCTTTAAAATTACTATCCTCCCTCACTAGAGAGAAAGAAGTTCTAGAGGGAAAAGAGAGAAACGAGGAAAAGGCGTAACTGGAAGGTGTAATGACTGAAGATATTCTGAAGCTGATAAAACCTAAATCTCAGTATGATGAAATATTATGAATCTTTTAAAGAATAATCTACACACATGTGGTAACAGAACTGGAGAATACAGTAAAAAGGAAAATATGCAATCAATAATGATTATTTGTTCAAAATGAGACTAACAGCATACTTTTTTTTAATTTTTTTTTTTTTTTTTTTTTTTTTTTTTTTTTTTTTTTCAGAACTGGGGATTGAACTCAGGCCCGTGTGCTTGCCAGGCAAGCACTTATTCTATTGAGCCATCTCCCCGGCCCCAGATAGCATTAGCCATGACCTTAAGAGGCTGAAAAAATAACCTCTAATTCTATTCTCAACTATAATATCTATTAATAGAGATCCTTATATCCACACATAAATGACTTTCCTTGATTCACTTCTGAAAAATGTCACCTTAACAAAGAGTTGTTCAGAAGCCACCCCATGTATATGGCAGTGCCCTACCACCACATATTTCAATCCCACTTTTCTTCATTATTCTCCACAGCACTTAACTACCATCTGACATACAAGAATAACTGTGCGATGTTTTTCTCCCAAAACTGGAATATGAACTCAAGAGCTGTTTCTGTATTATGCATTACTACAGCCACAGAACCAGAACAGTTTCTACTGCAGCGATGATACTCAATAAATGTATTTACCTACTCATTACATATTTTGAAATATTAAATACAACTTGAAACGAACTAAGTCACAAGTACAGTACATGTAAGACAGAGAGCTATGAGCTAAATTAAAGCACTGCAAGATCCTCAGTTCTTCAGAAGAATAAAGAAATTGACAACAGTAATTTTAAACTTTGATAAGTAGCTACATAAAACTTTAAAAGTAATCCCAAAATGAACAGAAATGGTGAAGAGCAAATTAGTAGAGGAGACATTAAATCCTCTACTTAAATTGTATCTGGTACTATTCTAATATTACATAATTAGCCTATTCCAAATTAATACACAAATTAAAAGCAATCCTCATGAAAACATCAACAGTTCTCCAGAGTTTGAAACAACAAGGGGCTGAGAACTAAGATAATTTCCTCACAGACCAACCTCTGCTTCAAGATTCATGCGTAGATACTAAGCTTCTTGTACACAGGGAGTCCACTGTCAGCCTGACTGCAGTGTGAGACCTTAACTCAAAAAACAAAAGAAAAACAAATACATACACATACATGTATACACACATACTATACATAAGATAGTTTAATACTGATGTAAGGCTAAAGATAAAAAAAAAAAGCCAACTGGGCTAGGGACATAGCTCAGCAGCACAACCATCTGCCTAGCCAGCACATGGTCCTGAATTCAGTTCCCTGTACTGGAAAAAACAAAAAAAAAAAACAAAAAAAAACAAAGTCAATGGAAAAGTAGCAGCTCATACAACAAATACATGGTATACATAGTAGGAGCGAAATATTATGACACACATAAATAGGAGGGAAAGAAGTGGTGTTAGGATCAGCCGACAGTTTCCTATCTCACCCAACAAAAAAAAAAAAAAAAAAAAAAAAATTCAATATGGATTTAAGACTAAATGTGAAAGTAAAACTTTAAAATGCAAGAATATCCTCAAATAAAACAATATATTCTTACGGTCTCACAGAAATTTCAAATACTAAGTTTTTTGGGTTTTTTTTTTTAAAGCATCTGTAAGGCCTACATAACTACATCAAAAAAAAAAAAAAAAGACTGCATTTTTCACATTCTCTGTACTTTGAGGTAAGTCATATGAAAATCTAACGCCAACCACACAAAATTATGGTGGCTAACTCCTAAGTGTTCTAAAGAACAGTCATGTGTGTCTCAGTCTTCCTCCTACCAAATGAAAGGTAGACAAGAGGAATAGACCTTGAGAAACCATTTTTTACCAGTGAAGTTACACCTTTACACAAACTGAAATGGACCAGAACAAGTAGGAAAGACTCCTAGGTCCTTGATGACCAAGGAGCTACCCAAAGCTCTCTTTATCTCTGTACTTGACTTACATGAAAGATAAACATCTATCTTGTTTCAGTTATGCTATAGGCTTTCTGTCACTCACTGTGAAGCCTAAACATGATAAAAATTATTCTAATTAAGATACAATAAATGTCTAGTATTAAAAATGCTAAAATAACATGAAAGTAGATAAACTGCTTTGTCTAGTTAGCACCAGAAAAATCATGAGAAAGGAAATAAGCACAGATTTAAACCACAATTTAAACAATGAAGAGTGCCAGACAAAAAAGCACAGAGGCAGGGGAAGGTACTATAGTCAAAATGCCGCTATCACAACCTACCACATACCTACTGGATAGCTAACAGGAAATTTACTTCTAACTGTTCTGAGGGTAGGAAGTCTAAGATCAAGGTCCTACCAGATTACCTTTTAAGGGCCCACTTTCTGGTTCACAGATGGTGCCTTTTCACTGTGTACTCTGAGGCCATTGTGTAAGGGCACTTATTTATTTCATAAAGCTCAACTCTCTAATATCATCACATTATGCTGAGCATCAACAAATGAATTTAGCCATATGAAAATGTCTTTTCATAGTGAATCTGAGAGACGAATTATTCACTTTGCACTCACCACACTGAAGTCCAGGTTGTCCTCGATCCACCTCTGCCCATCAAGGAATTCATCGTGGAGGCCCATGATGTAAAGGGTATCCAGAGCATCTACTATGGTGGCACCCATCAGTGAGCTCCCTACATTGGGCAGTACAAGTGTCATGAAAATGATTCCCTTCAAGAAATCTAGTCCATATAATTAAAGAATATACCAACCAAGAAAGAACGCCCAGCACTTCATTTTCCATCAACACACTAGATAATACAGTTTTAAAATATTTTAAAGGATGGCATATTAATAAATAATAGAAAAATAAAGGAAAACTAAAAAGTGTAATTCACCTTAATTTTGGTCTGCTCAGAATGTAAGACACCTACTTCAGACAGAGGAAAAGACAAATTAGAAAAGCTTTAAAGAAAAGAGGATGTGGGCTGGCCAGACTGAAGAACAGGAAGGATCCCTGCACGTCCCATCTGTGTAGTGAGACCCTCTAGGCCCCGTAATAAATACGTCTGCGGGGCAATTACTGAAGAGGACAAGCTAAGTCACGGAATAAGCGTGTCCACCTCCGATTCAAGACGGGCAAAACTACTTTGAAAAATAAAAAATGTAAAACAAAACTGGATAACCAGAGTGCAACAAAATTTAAATAATCCTTGAAATTAAAAAGCAGGTAAATCATCCTGAAAAAAATAAGTCATTTCTCAAAAATCACCCTGATTTTTTTTCAACACAGTCTAAAGAGAATCTCAGAAAAAAGCATAATTAAAATTTTGTACTATTTAAGATAAACAAATACAAGTAACTGAATTCCACCTTCTAAGAAAACAAGAAAAAAAAGCTTAAGCAACAAAGTAGAAGAATTATAAGAACTAAAAATAAGAAAATCAGTTTTGTCATTTTACTAATGTCTTTCAGAAATCAGATTTCTGGGGCTGTGGAGATAGCTCAGTGGTCTAAGCGCTTGCCTGGCAAGAGCAAGGACCAGGTTTGGTCCCTGGCACTGCATGCTGTGCAAGTCACACAGTGAGACCCTGCATCAAATAAATTTAAATTTTAAAAAATTAAAATTCAGGAAACAAAAAAAGAAAGCAGAATTCTTAATTTTCAATAAATCTAACTTACCTTTTTTTTTTTTTTTCTTAAAGTTGATGCTCATTGTGTTCCAAAATTTCCCTGCTTACCCCAAGGTCACAAAGGTTTCTCAAATGTTTCCTACTGGAAGTTTTGCACTTTCAGTTTTTATGCTTAGATCTGCAATCTCTTTCAAATTACTTTTCATACACAGCACTAATAGTCAAGGTTCATTGTTTTCCTACATGAATATCCAAGTGATCCAGCACTATTTGCTGGAAAAACTACCCTTTCTCCCACTGAGTTAGTTACTTTAGGATCTTTGTCGAAAAATTCATAAGTAGGCATGTGGAGTTCTGCTTCATTCTGTTCCCCTGAAGGCTGTACCTGTCCTTATGCTAAACCCCATACTGTTGGGCAGGAGATGTAGTACATAGCACCTACGTGCCATAGTTTTGTCCCCAGCACTACAAAACAAAAAAGATGACACAAAAGAGAAACCAAACTTTGTGTTCTCATTGCTGTAGTTTTACAGTAATCTCTAAAATCAAATGCTAAACATTCTTCTACTTTGCTCTTTTGTAAAACATATTTTGATTATTCTTAGAGCTTTGTATTTTCACATTTCTTTTAGAATCAACTTATCAATTTCTATACAGAAGCCTACTGCCATCGAGTTGCTTTCAATCTAAATGTGAATTTAGACAGAATTATTATCTCATCAGCATTTAGTATTCCAATCTGATCACCTCACGGACTCGCTTTACCTAAATCCTTTTAACTTGCTCTTGATAACCACTTATAGTTTCAGTGTATAGGCTCTACACATATTTTGTCAAATTTGTTCTGATACAGTTCACATTTGCAGATACTGGTATGTGACATTATTTCTAAACTGCGTTCCTGGTTTATTTATTGTTGGCATATAGAAATACAATTGATTCTGTGCAGTCAACTTGTATCCCATGACCTTCTTGCCAGTTTCTTGATTGGCACTTGAATTAAGGGACTTCTAAATAAAAGACTAGATGGTAAAGACACTAATACCAACAAGTGGAGCAAGGCCCTGATGAGTTCTCAGCAGAATGGGCTATGAGCAGGTGGTGCCCACTCGGATGTCAGCCGCTGGGGACCGCATCTGGGGCTCGGACCCTTCCATGCCCCCCACCCAGCCCCTCCTAGCTATTTGACTCTTGGTTGCTGCCAGTGTAGCTACTTTCCTGCACTATGCTCTGCTGTTACAATGTCTCTTCCTTGGGGCCAGCAAACCTCTGACAATAAACCTCTCCTTTTTTTTTTTTTTTTTTTTTCCAGAACCGGGTATTGAACTCAGGCCCTTACACTTGCCAGGGAAACGCTTATGCCACTGAGCCATTTCACCAGCCCACTCTCATTCCTTAAGTAGGAGGTAGCACATGTTTTTGTCCCAGCAATGGGAAGCCTTACAATTAAACCTACTAGATCTGCTTATTCATCTGAATACTTCATACGTCATTCTTTAGCAGTCTCTTTGTGAACAACCACACTCACTACAAGTAAGGACTGCTTTACCTCTTCTTTTCCTATCTTAATTTTCTTCTTCCTTAGTTTATGCAGTACTATCCACACTATAATTATATATATATATATATATATATATATATATATATATTATATCTATGTCAATATACTGATCTGGCATTCTCTTGCCTCGCTCTCACACTTAAAGTGTCTAGTCTCAAATTTCAGCACAGGGTGAGGAGTCATATTATTTGCTGTTTTGAAATTCCCTTTATCTGGAGCCGGGGAGATGGCTCAGTAGAATAAGCGCTTGCCTGGCAAGCGCAAGGGCCTGAGTTCCATCCCCAGTTCCAAAAAAAAAAAAATCCCTTTATCAGACTGAAGAAACTCCCTTCTAGTGTGTTGTAAATTTTTAATCATCTATGAACACTAGATGTTGTTCAATATCTAATGAAACAATCATATAATGTTCTCTCTTATTCCCTTAATATTTGGAATTACACTGAAATGGTTCCCACATGATAAACTATGCATGTATCCCGGCTGGAACTCGATTTAGCCATAGTTACTGTCTTTATATAAAGTAATACACGGCCTCAATTCACGAACACCTCTAGTTGCAAACAATTCAGTTTGCAAACAGAAGCGTTTGGCAAAATTTTGCTTAAGTTCATGAACTCTGCTTTGAGTGACACTGAGTCTTATGGGGAAATTTGATTCAGTTCAGAATGAAATGGTTCATAACTAGAATCATGAAATGTATTAAGTTTGTGAACCAATCACTGGTACCACTTCACTGCTGAATTACATTTACTAAGATTTGGCTAAAAGTGTTTATGTGTATATTCAAGAGGTATGTGGGTCTATAGTAAACCTCTTTTGTAATGTCTGTTTTGGCTTGGGAAATTAGGGCCTCAGTGGTGGTATCAAGGAAACGTAATAATCCTACATGTACAGACATCAAACCAGAGTACCTTAAAATGTATACGGCAAAAACTGACAGAATTAAAAGAGTAAAAGACAACCCAAAGTGAGAGTCAGGGACTTCAACATCCTTCTTTCAATAACTGACAAAATTGCTAGATAGAAAATAATTTAGAATAGAGAAAACCTAACCATGCTATTAGCCAATGAGGGTCTAACTGAAATCAACAGAACATTCCATACAATAATACCTATACTTTTCCAAGCAAAATGGAAAATTCACAAACCTAGAGTATATTCTAGATCATAAAGTCCTATTTGAAATCAGACAAAGTATATCCTCTGATCATAACAGAATTAAAATTAGAAAACAGTACAAAAAGATAAAGGATATTCTCTAAATACTTAAAAAATAACCTTCTGAAAGGAAATTTTAAAATATACTGAAGAAAGAAAAAAATGTAACTAAATCCTTGGGATAAAGTGCAACTTTTTGCACTTAGCAGGAAATACACAGTGCTAAGTTTGATCTCAAGCCAGTAATATAGGGAAGACTTGTATATCTCAGTATTAATCACTGTGCTAGGTGAAGATAGTTTCACTGAACAATTAGATCAAACATTTAAAAAAGAAAATAAAACTAATTGTAGCCAATCTGGCCCAGAAAAACAAAACAGAAAACATCTTTCAACTCATCTTATTAGGCCAGATTATCTTGATACCAAAATAAGACAAAAATAGTGCAAGAATATGGACGATCCCTTATAAACATGAAAGCAAAAGTCAAACAAAATATTAGCAAATCAAACCCAGTTAGGTCAAAACTAATGAAAAGTATTTATACATACATACACTTATATCTATCTGTATGCATGAAAAAAAAAATACCATCAAAAAAGCAAAATCTGAGATTCTTTCCCAAATCAAAATTCCTTTTAAATGCAAAAACAATGCTCCCTAAAAAAAATTTTTAATTCTGCACCGAAGTTAAGTAAAAATGTATTGTTTTCATTCCATTAACAATTGTTGGAATAATCAGCATCAATACTAATTTACATTTCCTTCTATTCACAAGCTCCAGGGGCAGATTCTAAGTGGGCAAAAACCACATGAACACATCCTCTCTTTATAGGTGTAGCATTTGGTTCACTCAGACACAAACAGAATCGGAGAAAACAAGAAACAATGAAGTCTTTTAAGAAGATGCCTGCTAAGAAACTCAAGTGCTTTTTCTACATGGTTCTCTTCTCTAGAAATGCAGAACTAAGATATAAAAACTTCAAACAGCTGCAGCCCGCTGCTACAAAGCCAGCTTGAAGATATCAACACACAGAGATAAAGTATAGCTGAAAATCTGATCTACACCAAGACTTCACTGAGTTGACTGAATTACATTTGCAATTTAAGCCATTTTGAAAAAGATTTTCTACTACCTGCACATAAAGAGTCCTCTGATGCCAAGGACAAACCAGATAAAAGAGAAACACTGATTTCTGTTACCATATAAAAGAATTAGTTAATCATCAAAGCTTTAAAAAAGAAAAACGGATGGGGGGGCCGGGAGATGGCTCAGTGCAATAAGCGTTTCCCTGGCAAGCACAAGGGCCTGAGTTCAATCCCGGGTTCCACCAAAAGAAAAACAAATGTGCTCCAAGTTAACCTCGAACCCTGTAAGCAAAAGCTCAATACCATCTACATGCTCTCACAGTCATGGAGGTGGTACACTTTTAGAAGTTCTTTCTGACACTGTGATTCTATAAAAGTACATCGAATTTGGATGCCAAATGAGATATTGAGAGCTACCACCCTTCTCTTAAAGACATGTTATTAACAGAAAAAAGAAAATGTAAAAAACATGTTTGAAAATTCTGAAATTATAATCATTATGAAGAATGAAACATGCAAAAGGAACAGAGTAGGAAGAAATGGAATTTTTCAATCTTGTAGTAAACTACATGTCTACAAATAAAAAAGACAAAACACATAATAACTCCTTTTCTGTTGATTTAGCTGGGAAAATATTACAGCAACTAAAAAAATGAATAGGTTTAAACATTTTTTTTTTTTTTTGGTGATACTAGGGATTGAACTCAGGACCTTGCATTTTCCAGGTAGGCGCGTATGCCACTGAGCTATCTCTCTGGCCCAAAACACCTAATTTTGACTACTGAAGGTTCCAAACATTGCATTTTCTACATTTCACTGATTTTCTCCTCACAATAGGCGTTTTTCTAGAGCTAAACCTGACGAGTTTATCTATAAAACTTACAAAAGTAAAGCTAATATATATTTGATACTGTCACAATATCTCTCAAATCCAGGAGAAAAAATATTTAAGGTATATTCTTTTTTGATAGAAAACAAGAAACAACAAATTATAAAGGAAATCTTTAAAAAAATTCTTCTCCAGTCTCAGAAGAAAAAATGTTATCTGAATTACTGTGATAGTATATTTGAGTTAATAAAGAAAACTACAATGCATTTGACTACTATATGTGATATGTTTGTTCTTACACTATTAAAATTTTCCTGCCTTTACACATCATTCTTTATAAGTTATATATCACATGAAGAAACATTTAAAGGACACAAGGAGAGAAGACCAAAAAGAACATCAGCTGGACAATTCTCAAAACTTAATTCTGAGTTTAGTAAAACTTGTTAATTTCACTTTCTGGCTACAAATAAAACACTGACCTCCAAAGGAGGACAGAATCAAGATTAACACAGGCATTCCTCAAGGTGCCCGTCACTGGAACATTGTCACTGTGTCCCACATTATCAATTCTTCCTCAGGAACTACGAATGTACACCATAAACCACTCAACTTACTGACCACCAGACCCGCCAGACCCACACACCCTACCCTGTTCATGAAACCCCCTTCCACGTGCTTCCTTCTGTTTTTGCTGGGGTTTTGTGTTGTTGTTGTTGTTGTTGTTTTTTTTTTGTGGAACTGGGGATTGAACTCAGGCCCTTGCACTGGCCAGGGTAGCGCTTATTTTACTGAGCCATGTCCCAGCCCGCTTCCTTGTGTTTTAATGCATACAGTACTGATGGAAACCCCAATCCGCCCCTCCTCCTCTTCACCCTAAGTATCAGAAACAGTATCCCAGCTGAAGGAAAAAAGAAAGAAGCCACAAGGAAGTGCCTATTTTTACTGACATCAAGAGAAAAACTCAGAAAGGGCTTCAACATAAATCGTTTACATATCAATAAATATCCAACACATAACTGTATTCCAAAGCAACTAAAGCCAAATACTGACATAATTGTAAAAATAAATAAATGTTAAAATTATAGCTCCTCTGGAATACTCTGATTTTAGAAAGTACTTTAAAAAGTCAGATTAGGTTTTAAGACATGGAGGCAGAAAACAGTAATGAGAAAAGGCCAACTTACCAAATATGTTAGTGGAGTGTCCTTTCTTTGCAATAGGTCTGAGTTCATTATGCCCCCATCCGTATGTTCTGTAATTATCCCAGGCATGTTTCATCATCTAAGTGAAAATTATCATACATCAATTAAAATTATTTAGACTATTATTCTTTGGTTTTATTTTGTTGTGTTTTGTTTTTTAATGTATTTGGTTGTTACAAGGTCTCACTACACAGCTCGGACTCACAGTGATCCTCCTGTTTTGTGCCTCCCCAGCGCTGGGATTACACGCCTATGCCACTCTGAGCCAGCCAAGTGACTGGCTCAGACTCTGGCCAGCTCAGCCCACTCTAGGAATAGGGCTGGTGCAGCATGTGGGGCTGGGATCAAACCAGAAGCCCTGTGCTTGCCTAAATTGGTGCGTTAGCCTGCTGAGCTATCTCGCCAGCCCCCAGACTGTTATTCTTGTAATTAGGGTTCTGTTACTATGTCCTCATCATTCTACTAGGTCTCTTACATTCTGGTAGCATATTACTATCATAACATTACTACCATTTAACGTATTCCAATTAATACTTGTATTTGTATGACAACATATATGTTTACTGAATAGAAAAAAGTTAGGTACAATAAACCAATTATTTTTCTTGGGGAGGAAAGTGTCTATTTGATATTTCTTCTCTTTAAAAACTACCAATCCTCTGTAACAACTCCTTTTCTTCCACTGCGATTATGACAGAGCTTTTAATCAATAGGCCTTGCTTTCATTACCACTTAATTCAGCCTGGTTAGAAAAGTCCAGAGATCAGAGATCAGAGATCAGAGATCAGCACAATTTAACTCTGCACTGGTAGCACAACAGCACTCCAGATATCGGACATGGTTATGTTCTGAAGAAACTTTATTTCTAACAAACAGGTAGCTTGCAGGATTTGGTCCACAGGATGCAGTTTACCAAACTTTGCCCTAGACAAAGTGACTGGGTAGTAATTCCACTAGAAACTATCAATCTCTTTTTACACATGCTGTTATATACACTGGGAAAGAGGAACTCTTATTTTGTGACCTCAAGGCCTACATAATATATAATCCCAGAGTTGATGATGGTGAACTCTTTCCCAATGAAACAAAAACAACCAAAGGAAAGAAACAGAGACAAATATGAACTACTAACAATTACACTACAGACTTAAATTTATCAAAGGCTGAATTCTAATTTAGAACCAGTACAGGAATAAAATATTTTTATATCACCTAGTTTGTGCAAGAAGTCCCAAACTAAACAGCGAGAGTATTTACTCAAATGTCAGTCAGATTATATAATAGCATACTGTGTTGTTTTTATTCATGTCAGTATACTATACAGTATCTAGTCATGACAGGCGTGGGGGCACATACCTGTAATCCCAGTACCTGAGTAGTTGAAGCAAGTTGAAGGCCAGCTCGAGCTAAAGTGAGTTCAAGACCAGCCTGCACTGCAGAGTTAAGCCCTATCTCAAACAGACACAGGCCCACACACACGTGCACGCATACCTCATTGAACAGTAGTCATCCAAAGCATTCCCAAATGAAAATTCCAGGCTGCTGTATTTCAAGAATATAAAAAATAATTTTTTTCTCTTGAAAAAAATTGGCAATAAGTAAGGAGATTATTACACCATGACCAAGTACAGTTTAACCAAGGAACAAAAGACTAATTTAACAATCAAAAACCAACCAATAAAATTCATTATGTTAACAAATAAGGACAAAAAAATCATACAATTATCTAAACAAAAATATACACAAAATCTGACAAAATTCATTATTCACTATAAAAGCTCTTAGTAAACTGAAACTACAAATATCCTCCTACTAATAAAGACATCTCAAAAAAATAAATCCTATGAATACAGCATACTTAACAGCTAACCAAATGTTTAGCTCTAAAGTCACGAACAAATCAAGCACTCTCAAAATTTCTTTCAATCTCCTAGTAAATCTTGCCAGTATAACAAGAAAAGAAAAGGAAAAGTACCTCCATTCTTAAACAATATGACTATGTAGAAGGAACCCCCCAGGACCCTAAAAAAGCCACTAGAATAAATAACCTTAATAAAGTGACAGAATGTAAGTTCAGCAAACTAAAATCATGTACTTCTACATGCTAAATTCTGTGAGTACTTCTAGCAAATCACTGAATTTGGGAGGCCCCCAAACACTCATGTTTATCTATCTGAATTATCAAGTATATGAAAAAGTAGTTAAAAGAACCATAGTGGCAACTATAAAAAACAAATTAAGTATCTGGGGGGAAAAAAATCTACCAATGTTACCCTGAACAACATCCAAAGAAAAGTGTCTGAAACAGTCCACACACGAAATATAGACTTCAGAGATAAGGTAGAAATCAGAGAGCTCTGTTTTGACTCCATCACAAGCAAGATTTTATAATACATAGGGTAAGCTTAAAATATTTGCTAAGTATTTTCATTATCAAGATATATATAGAATATTGGAGTATTTGACTTAAATGTTTGTCTTAGTTTGTGATAAAAATTTCTTCTGATGTACTCGTGGTACTATTACATTCTGACAAAATCTGCTTGCTAGGGAGTTCAACTGTAGAGTCCACCCAAAATTATCAGAATTATTAACAAAGCAAAAGTCAAATATTCATTAATTCCCCCCTCTCCTACTGTATTCGTAAGTAATTCATAGAATAACAAGTAGAAAGACAAGATTAAAAATTTAAGAAATTTTAAGATCTTTTTTCACTTTCAATCTACAAAGACTCTTTAAAATATGCTCGTTCTAAAAATTGTCATTACAGGGCTGGGGAGATGGCTCAGCAGAATATGTGCTTGCCTATCAAGCATGGGGGCCTGAGTTCAATCCCTGGTTCTGAAAAAAAAAAAAGACAAATAAAAATAAAGCTTTAAAAAATAAATAAATAAATAAATAAATAAATAAAAAATAAAAATTGTCATTACATATTAAGTACTGATGTACATGAATTTTTTTCTTTTTTATGTTATTAGTATATCCCTGTGTGGCACTGGTGCAGGCACACAACACATCTTCATTCCTTTTCTCACCCCTATTACTCCTTTTACTTTCTCCATCCCTCCCTTGATCTCTTGATCCCTTTTCCCTCTGAAATGATCTACCGCTCTACTTCCTATTATTTCTTATCTTGCTCTCCAGTGTTACCATGTTGCTCATGAGAGAAACCAAGAGATGTCTAAGCCTGTGTGTCTGATGTATTTCAACTTACATTATGGTCACAAGGTGTACTCATTTTCCTACAAATGACTCCAGTTATCTTTATAACAGAGGAATACTCTACAGTGTGTAATGTATTTTCTTTATCAGTTCATCTACTGATGGACAGAGGGGCCAACACGGATATTCATGTATCATAGTATGACGTACTCTTTTGGGATGTTACCTAGAAGGGGAATAGCAGGATCAAATGGAAGTTGAAGTTACAGTTCTGTGAAAAATCTCTATACTGATTCCCATAGTGGTTGTATTAGTTTGTTTCCACCAACAGTGTAAAAGGATTCCTTTGCCTCTATTGACTCTCCAGTATTTATTATTTGACTTCCTGATGATGCTCATTCTTTCTTCATTAAAACTGACTCTCAGTGTTGTTTCAATTTGCATTTCTCTAATGGCCAGAAATGTTGAGCATTTCCTCGTGTATTTATTGGCCATCTGTACTTCTGTGAAGTGCCTGTTCATTTCATTTGCCCATTTTTGGACTAGGTCTTTTATTTGGGAGGGTTAACTGTTTTGAATTCTTTATATACTCTAAGATATAAGTCCTCTGGTCTGAGCAATCACTGGCAAGTTTTTTCCCCATTTTGTAGGTTATCTTTGCTGTGCAGACCTTTTTAATTTGCTATGATCCCACCTGGTGACTCTCAAGACTGTTTCCTGTGCAACCAGAGTTCTGTTCAGAAAGTCCTTCCCTATAGTCATGACTCCAAGAGTGTTACCTATGTTGTTCTTCACAAGGTTGATTCTGGTTTATTTAGATCTTTGACCCATTTTAATTTCAATTCAGTACATGATGAGAGTCTGCGTCTACATTTAATCTTGTGCAAGGAGACAGTCATTTCTTATAGCCATTACTATAACCATTTGCTGAAGAAGCTAGCTATCCTCCACTGTGTATTTTGGACCCCTTTGTCAAATTTTGGGTTTCTTCTGGTTCCACGGGAATTTTAGAATAGTTTTCTCCAGTTTTGTGCAGAATGCTGTTTGCAGGCTGGGGAAATAGCTCAGCTACATAAATGCCTGCCTGGAAAGCACAAAGCCCTGAGTTCAATCTCTGGTGCCACCAAAAAAAGAAAAAAGAATGCTGTTTGAATTTTTACTGGGACTGCATTAAATCTGCATCAGTTTTGCAAGTATGGCCACTTTGACTATTTTGGTTCTGTCTGTCCAGGAACAAGGCATATCATTTCATTTTCTGGGGTCTTCAATTTCCTTTTTCAGAGTAATGTAGGTTCCCCTGTCTTTTGCTTCCTTAGATTAATCCTTAAATACTTAATATTTTTATGCTATTGTGAATAGTATTTTTCCATGATTTCTTTCTCAGTGAATTCATTATTATTGTATAAGAATGTTATTGATTTTTTGTGTGACTTTTGTATCCTGTTACATTACTGACTTTGGTTATTAATTCTAAAAGTCACTGGATTTTGGGGGATTTTGTATGTACAGGATCATATCAGCTGGAAATAATGATTACTTGACTTGTTCCTATCCTGTTAACCCTTTTATTTTTTATTTTTTTATTTTCTTTTTCTTGCCTAATATAAATATAATATGTAACAGACGCAAGAACAAAAATCACATGATAATCACAATAGATGCAGAAAAAGGCCTTTGACAAAATCCAACATCCTTTCCATGAATAAACACTAAGGAAAACTGATACCTAAGGACCTTATCTCAATCTGATAAAAGCCACTTTGACAAACTTAGTGCCAGTATCATATTAAATGAGAGAAAAACTAAAAGCTTTCCCTGTAAAATCAGGAACAAGATAAGGATATATCCTATTACCACTCCTGTTTAACCCAGTATTCAAAATACACTATTAATCTGCAATACTGTTAAAGAATAACAGTATATAACACAGTCCTTTAAATGATGGTGAATATAAGGCTAGCTATAAAGAACAGGGGTCTCCAACCCCTATGGCCATGGGCATCCATCAGGCCACAGCCTGTTAGGATCCGGGCTACAAAGAAAGAGATGACCAGCATGCAAGCAAGCTATGCTTCCTCTAGAGTCACAGCCAGCCACTCCCCATCACTCTCATTACTGCCTGGCAGAGGTTCTCCTAGGAAAGTGAACGCTGCTGGAAACTCTGCATGATAGGGACCTAGACTGCATACTCCGCATAACAATCTAATGTGTGAGATATAAAGTGGACCTGAAGCAATGATGCTACACTTAGGAGTGGCTGCAAATACAGAGTAACATTAGCAGAGACGTTTGACTGTAGAGAAAATAATCAATTGCTTAAAGACTCATATCAAAGAAAAACCCTGAGTGAATGGCAAGTGACAATTTAAGCTACACCCGGCGACAGACTATAGCGACAAGTGAGTTGACGTGCCTTAATTTTTTTTTTTTTTTTTTTTTTTTTTCCGGTACTGGGACTTAAATTTTTTTGCCTTGGTGGCGGATAAGTAGTATTTTGTTTTTTTTTGGTGGAACTGGGGATTGAACTCAGATCCTTGCGTTTGCCAGTCAAGCACTTATCCTATGAGCCATCTCCCCGGCCCCAACATGCTTTAATTTTTAACTGTACAACTGCATTTGGTGGTAGGCTTTACAGCACAATCTGACTCTAACTCCACTCATGGCCTGCCCGTGATTTACGCTTCCATCCATCCTTCTTTCCCATCCTGAGCCCTTACCTTATAGTTTTTCTCAGCTCACAAGCTAACTCCAGCCAAAATGAGTTATCAGCAAATATCACTGGAGAGCTTCTTTGAAAGGGGAGAGAAACATTCAATGATGAGACAGCAGAGAACTCTAAAACTTCCAACAAAGAGAAAGCTGCATTTAAAACAAAATACTCCTATTTAAATTACAGGCTCATTCCAAACATTCATGTTCTCCAAGCCTGCTTTGTATGATACAGTGTAAGTGACTATCCAACAAAGCCAGGAAACTGATAAATTGCTTTGCCACGTGGAGACCGAGCACCTTGCATTATTAGAAGTTTCTCAAAAATTAAAAAAAAAAAAAAATGAATACAAGAAAAGTAAACATTGAAGAACAAGCTTCAACAACATGTCTGCACTGAGAGCATCATTTTTTGTAGGTAACCTCACTGCTAAAACTAAGAAGCCCTTTCCTACTGCTAAACAGCTGATCACGCCCACTGCTAAGGATACTGGTTATGAACCTTCAGGAAAAGCTGCAGTTCAAAAGGCACCAAGTTCTGCTTTCAGCTAGCACCACAACAAGACAAGCTCATGAAATAGCAGAGGATATTCAGTCACCATGACATGAAATCCAGATTCAGGAGTCTACTGATGCTGACAACAAGACAAAACCAGTTATTTCTGTGTGATACTCTTAGGAGTATCTCAAAATTAAAATGCATGATGGGGGCCAGGGAGATAGCTCAGTGGTTTAAGTGCCTGCCTGGCAAGCACAAGGTCTCAATTCAATCCCTGGCAATACACACAGAAAAAGCCTGATAGGGGGCCGGGGAGATGGCTCAGTAGAATAAGCGCTTGTCTGTCAAGTGCAAGGGCCTCTGAGTTCAATCCCTGGCTCCATCAAAAATAAATAAATAAACAAACAAATAAATAACTAGCATGGCGGTATGTAATATGGACTTCTGTTGCCAATCAATACCACAACTACAGAATTATTACTATTATTATTATTGGGGGTTTTTTGTACTTTAGTCACGGTCTACAGGGTCTCACTATGGACCCATAGTGAACCTCCTGTTTTCAGCCTCCCAAGAGCTGGGATTACAGGTGCATGCCACCACACCCAGTCTCAATCACCATCTCGGCTCACCCTGGGGGTGGGGCCAGCGTGGCAAGTGGGGATCGAACCCTGGCCACAGCGTCTGCCTAAGCAGGCACTTTAATCCGCTGAGCTATTTAGCCAGCCCTTCAGAATTATCCAAGTCTCTGAATAATTACATATCAGGAAAACTGTATGTACACAGACAGCAGCTACCGTGACTGGAAGCTTTCCAGTGTCACTACTTGGGCTAAAGTGGGTGCTTCTGGATGTGAGTCTATGCGCTGTGCTATCCAGAGAAACGCTGGCTAGCCAAAAACATCACCTAACTTAAAGACATCTTGCAGGTTATGATTAAAATTACCAACCACACTGAAGTGCATGCCCTTAACTCACACATCTGCTCAGCTCTGCGAGGAGATGGACTTGTCTTACCCACAGAAGTGAGATGGTTTTCTAAAGGTAAATTACTGGCAAGTTTTTGAGTTACATAACCACTCCAAAAATTTCTTGTAGGAAAAGTCACCACTGGTAGCATATTTCAATGACACAGAATGGATTGTAAAACTCAGTTGCTTGTGGGACATATTCAACCTGCTCAGAGAACAACTGTGTTCAAGTCAGCAGATAAAATGGATGCAGTCAAAACCAAACTGGAATTATTGGGGCAACGAGTGAACATCAAGACTTTTGACATGTTTTAAATATTAGCAGAGATTTTGAAAAAGACTAAGAAAAGGCTTTCTTTCTTCCAGCTGGGGCATGATAACGTGTTTTCCAATGTGTTAAAGCATTACTTCTCAACTGCAGAAGGCCCCAAACTGGGAAGGAATGGACCCACGCCTATGTGTAAAGGAGCTGCGTGGACCGACTCTGGACAGAGGACCAAGTGTGTGAGGTCACAACTGACGGCTGCCTCAGAAGTTGCCTGAGACAGCTACAAGTCAGGACTGACTACCCTGAGGGTGCCACAAAGTGCCGGCAGCTGTGCACTCAGTTCCTAGTCCTGCCTGTCACACAGCAACTAAAATGAGGTGACCACGTAGACGAACATGAAGACGATCCATGTGTCACTGTCTCCATCAGCCTCAGAGCAGAACAAATAATTGCAGAAAAGTAAGATCAGAGCTCCCACTGATTCCACATTACAGGAGATTGTATAATTATTTCATTACATATTACAATGTAATAATACCACCACAGTATCCAAAAGTCCCTTATAACTAAATATTTAAGAAAGGGTTCATCAATGGTAAATTATAAATGAAGTGTCCTCTATTTTATAAATTTACAGTATTTGTTAAATGCTGAATCTCAAGACTTCTGGACACAGATAAGTCATATAATCCTCAAAACAACCTTATATGAAAATTTTAAATTGTACAATAATTGTATTATAATTAACATTAAGAAAGAGACAGACCTCTAGTCCTTACTGCTAATCAGGAAATTAAACTACAATTATAACCCTAGAAGCAATATGATCAAAGTGTGACACCACAGATGGTACAGAAATACATATATATGTAATCAGGTACACATCTATAACTAGTCTGTATCACAAATTTTAGCTCCTTACCTCTTTAATTTTGTCCCTTTTCTTTTTTATCTCAGTATCTTCAGGGTCTCCACCACTGATTCCTACAAGGTTTGGAACAGCAACTGGAGGCAGTGGCTTGTTCTCTTTTGTCTTCATTTCTTGGACTACCTTATTTTTCTCTGTCTGAATTTCTGCACGAATTTCTTCTCTTGACTTTCGTAATTTTTCTTTTGCTTCTTCCAGAGCCTTTTCATGATCAGCTCGAATTTTATTTCGTAGACGTTCTTCTTCTTCCCTGTAAGTACAGAAGAAAAAGAAGCTGGTTAGAATGAGTCTTTATAAGAATGTCAATCTTTAAACATAAAACCTTAAAGTCCTCCA